ACAGCAACATAATATCAACAACAACAACAACAACAACAACAACAACGTAATAACATATTCAACAAAAACTGCGCCGATAACAACAACAACAACAACAACAACATCAAAATATTAACAACAACAACCTCAAAAACATTAACAGCACATTACCAGCAACACCAACAACAACATCAAAACATTTACAACACCAACAACATCAACATCAACAACAACACATAAATAATATGTACGTTACGGATTAGCGTTAAAAAGTTATCAAATATAATAGATGCCCAGCTTTCTTTATGTCATCTATCTTGTCATCGTTGTACTCCTTTGTATTTGCAAGTATTTACCATTATTTGGATGTATTTGTGCGTATTAGTTTGTAATTATGTGTATATTTTATTTTCAATATTAAATTATATATATATATATATATATATATATGTGTGTGTGTGTGTGTGTGGGTGTGTGTGTGTGTGTGGAATATATGAATATATGTGTGTGTGTGTTCATGTGTACTGATATGTATCCAAAAATATTTCTATTTTGTGTACATGAGTACTATAATATGTCTAGAATTAATATCAGTTCCACATACTCCCGTACGTCATATGATAATAATTAACCGTAAATGTTTTTATTGGTTTTTAACAAATAAATTCTTTTATTGATATATGATACAATTTTAAGCCACACACACATAATCAAACACGCACACACAAACACATACACAAACATACACACAAACACATACATAAACATATACACACAAGCAAACACAAACATACAACACACACACACACGAAAATACACACCAACGCATACACAAACATACACAGAAACACACAAACTCATGCCCAAACAAACACACAAACACATACACTCATACATACAAACGCATACATACAAATGCCCTCACATACGCAGACAAACAAACGCACACAAACAAACACATACTCAGCAGACTCACATGCATCCACTCTAACAAATTCACGAAACCAACATACACGTACACTCGCTCATAGCAGTGCTGTGATTATATTATATGGAAAAGAAGCGAATTCTTAACATACGTAACCTCAACTTACTTTTATTCATCTAATATACAATACATACACGTTTATCCTTGCGTTTATGTCTGTTTGTTTGTGTGTGGCTGTATGTATGTTTGCTCATGTCTGTGTCTGTTTGTATGTTTGCTTATGTTTGTATCTATTTTTTCATCCAGTTCATCCAATATACATTACATAGATGCATACACACAACAACAATGCTTGCGTCTTTGATTGTCTGTCTGTTTGTGGTTGTATGTGTGTTTGTATGTTAACTTATGTTTGTATCTGTCTGTTTGTATTATCATTCATGTTTGTGAGGTGTTTGTTATGTTTTTCTCTTTAAGAGTTGTTTGACTTGTACTTGTTCAACTGATTTTACCCTTCTTCATGTATTTATTTCATGCACATTGGTTCAACTTGAGATCGTTTGTCTGTGTTTGTTTATGTCTGTTTGTGTTTGTTTCTGCCTGTCTGCGTTTGTTTATGTCTGTTTGCATTTGTTTTGCTTTGTTTACACATTAGGTGATTTTGTGGTATCATAAACACATGATGTTAATGTTTTATAGACAAAATTGCAAGATCAATTGCAAATAAACAAATAAACACTTATCAAAAATATGCTGATTTTAGAATCATGCAGTACAGAAAAACATCAACAATGACAATAACATTAATTATATCACTGAACAAATTTACCGACAGAATACATTAATAAAGAGAAATCAAAATAAAAAATACGAAAATATGTTAACAACAACAACAGCAAATACATCATCAACAACAACAACGCCAACAACGAAACATCGACAATCAACATCAACAAAAACATTGACAACAACAGCAACAAAACTTCAACAACAGCAACATCAACAAAGATATCGACAACAAAAACAACAAAAACAACAAAAACAACAACAAAAACATCAATGACATCAACTTTTTGATAAAGAACACACCCCAAATTGCATAAAAAAGAAAATAAATAATTAAGCGGGAATGTAAACAGCTATGTGTGCATATTTAAATCATCATCATCACTATCGACTTCGTCATCATCTTCATCACCATCATCATCATCATTTTCGTCATCCTCATTATCACCACTATCTCCACCACCATCATCATCATCATCATCTTCATCGTCGTCGTCATCGTCATCATCATCATTATCAGCATCGTTTCCTGTCGGAGTTGGATGTTTTTTTTATCCAACTCCTAAAAGTGTTAAAAAAAATTGAAAAATTTCTTATTTTTCTTTCTTAAATTATTTTTTCTAAATTGCATATTTTATAATGTATGTATGTGTTGCGAAATGGAATCGTCTTTAATACTAAAATACATGCCAATAATTTTATAAGATCTTTTAATATTCTTTCGGTATGTTTTAAAACGTGAATAATATAAAGTAACTTTACTAAGATAAACAAGAGAAGTAACGATACTACAGTAAATTTGTGATGCAAAAGTTGAAAAAATGTTTTTTTCTTGAAGCCCAGAGCCAAGAGTTGAGAGTCTGAATTGGAGAAATTATTATTAAATTCATTACTATTACTGAAAACATCATTTAAAAAGTCACTGAAAACATCACCAACAACATCATCGTCGTCGTTCGACTAATTATCATCTCGAAAAAAGTAAAGAAAAAATAGAATGGAAAGAAAATGAACCAAGAAATTCCAAGAAAAATAAAATAAAATGAAATAAAAAGACGTTCTGCACAAAAACTAAATTAAAAAAGTGACTAATAACAATAATAGGAATAAAAATGAATAGGAATAAACGCAGAGCAAAATAATTTAACTCAAATGATGATGCGGAAAGAGCTAAAGACAAAAGCATTTATTACTTGCTTCCTTCGACGCACTGATAATTTTTTCTAAAATTTTTTTCATTTTTCCTATTTTGTTTTTTAGAGTTTTTACTTTAATTTTTATCAAACATTTTTTGACAATTTGTTTTTGTTTTTTATTTTGTTGTTTTATTTGTTAAACATAATACACTGTTCTTTTTTATATTTATTCAGGAATAGTTAGCCAGAAACATTTTTAAGTTGACAAATTTAACCAAATAAAAAAATACAAAAGTCATAACGGTCAAAAGCGAGGCGCACATACACATGAACATTTACACGCACACACACACACACAAAACTGTTTAGCAGGCAAAACCAATGCAAAACAAACACAAAAATACATATAATAATATAGCATGCGTATGTACTTTATTGCATTTATGCATGTATTTTGCAGAGGGGCACACACACACATATACACACACACACACACACATACACACACATACATACACACGCATACATGCACACACACATAGAAACACTGCATTATACAGCGGTGATTCATCAACCAAACTGAATTCTTATGTTTAAAAAGCCTGAAAATAAGAATAACAATAAAACGAAGTAAAAGATGATGACGACGATGACGATGAATATTATGATTATATTATGATTATATTATGATTATATTATTATTATTATTACTATTATTAATGATGAGGATGATGACTTTGAAAAAATTGTGAGGGTAAAGATGACGATAACCTGGAAAATGAATATAAAATATTGACGATGAAGATGTCGGTGGTTAGTGTGTGTGATAAAAATTATGCAGCAGGTTGGCGGCGATGCTCATCACGTACTCATAATAAATGCAGACAAACAAATAAACAGACAGACAAACAGACAGCCAAACAAACAAACACAACCAAACAAACAAACGGCAAGACTATCAAACAGACAGACAGTCAAACAAAGACAAACCTTTAGACAAACAGACGGACAGAGAGCTAGATAGAGAAACAGATAGACAACCCGAAAAAACTGACAAGCAGACATACAAAAAGACCAGCAGACAGACAAACAAACAGACATTAAAACAGACAAAAAATAAAAATAATAAAAATAAAAATGGAAACATCACTTGGAAAACATAACTGAATCGGGGTGTATAAGAATAAATCTTCATGCATAAATAAAAGTTATGGTGATAACACTAATAACAATAAAAAAGAAATAAAAAAATATTTTTGTTTATATTATTGCAACAAAATATGCCAGCTCTGATCACAAGAATAAAAAGAAATACAACATCGAAACAAAGCTTCTCTTGGTGGAGAACGAAAATTAAAAGGCTTTTCAATAACATCATTATCATCACCGTCATCATTTCTATCATCATCATCATTTTCGTCGTCATCATCACCGACTGCAATTCCATAATCGTCATCAGCATCGCCTTCACTGTTAACATGTTACTGTCATTATTGTTGTTGTTGTTATCATTATTATTATCATCATCGTCGTCGTCGTCATCATCTTCATCTTCATCATCTTCATAATTATTATTATTATTATAGGTAATTATTGTTTTAATAGGTTAAGTAGTTTTAATAGGTTAAGTAGTTAAGTAGGAAAATAATTTTTTTTCTGTAGCTATAGCCCACGAAACACCGATTTGATAACTTTCTTCTTCATTTCATTCTTGTATTCAGACGACCTGTTTAATGTTGGATTCGAACACAAACATACATGCAAGTATGTGTGTATGTGTATGTATGTATGAATCTGTGTGTTTATGTATGTTTGTTTGTATGTATATGTGCATTTATGTGTGTGTGTGTAATTATTTGTTTATGTATGTTTGGTTCTTTCTATCTATGTATGTGTGTACGAATGTATGAATCTCTGTAAGTGTGTCTGTTTGTGTGTGCAGTGGCCGATCTAGAAAAATTCGACGGGGGACTAACATTTTCACGGTATTTTGTGTGTGTGAGTGTGTGTGCTTGCATGCACGTGTTTCCCTTTGTGGCTTTGTTGATCATACATGATTAAGTGATATAATGATGATAGTTCGTGCGATGATGAAGACGGCGTTTAAATTGATGATGAAGTGATGACGACCTTTAAAGAGTGATAATGATTCACATTTTTGTAAGAAAAATTTGTCTGGTTTGTTTCAACTATCTATCATTTAGATGAGATACAAACAACAACCAGTTACTACCCTTAACATCTTTTATATCAATTTCATTGTTAACCATTATGACAATATTGAAAGAGTATAACTATGGCTGTAATGATATTATTGTTATTATTATCTATTATTTTATTGTTTTTGTTATTATTTTTGTTGTTATTATTATTGTTGTTGTTGTTATAGT